GGGACCCCATTTGGGGTCAAACGACCATTTCACGGGGGTCACCAAACAACACAGTCCACCATTTTTTTCCCCTTTTCCTTAGCTGTGCTACTCCCTTTTATTCTATTGGCTTTTGAAAGCCAATAGAATAGACTCTCTTGAATAGAGTCTAATTCTATTGGCTTTCAAAAGGCTGTCTCTGCCCTGCTGAGCCCGCCAAAAGTCCCATTCTGCAAACGGTGCTGCACAGTTGAGTAGTCCTTGACTTACGACTGGTTGAGTAGTCCTCAACTTATGACCGGTTGGGGGTCACGGAATTTAAAAGGTTGAGAACCACTGCTCTAAGCGGTGTACACCAGTAAGCAATGTGTGTGTGTGTATATATATATATATATATATATATATATATATATATATATATATATATGTAGGTCTTTGGTTGTTCGGGTTTTCTCCCGCGTAAAATTGGAAGTGTCTTGGCGACGTTTTGATGAAGTCCCATTCGTCATCTTCAGGCTGGTGTTTTCAGCTTCGTGCTTCGTCGAAACGTCACCAAGACACTTCCAATTTTACGCGGGAGAAAACCCGAACAACCAAAGACCTACATACAAACACCCGCGAAAACCTCAGAAAACATATATATTTACATTGCCCCCAACAATCTGGGTCCTCATTTTACCTACCCCGGAAGGGTGGAAGGCTGAGTCAACCTTGAGCCAGTGAGATTTGAACCGCTGACCTACTGAACACCGTCAGCTAAAGTGGCCTGCAGTACTGCACTCTAACTGCTGCGCCACCTCGGCTCTCTCATCCATTGAGAGTGGTAGAATACTATAACATTATCTCCATATGCATGAACATGCCTGATGAATACACTTATGGATGAATATGTAAATGAGCTAAGTGTGTGGGGGGGGGAGACAAAAATGTGCATATATGATTCTACCTGGGAATGGGCAATGGATTATATATACTTTTACAGTTTTTTGCTTCTATATTAGAATTAGAATTTTTTATAGGCCAAGTGTGATTCGACACACAAGGAATTTGTCTCCAGTGCATAAGCTCTCAATGTACATACAAGCAACAAGTGAAAAATCATGATCATAATAATAAAATACAATAATCATAAATCATAGATACAACCAGTGGTGGGGTTCAGCTGGTTTGCACCACTTCGGCAGAACTGGTAGCTAATTTTTTGTTGCCCAGGCCCAGAATGGACTTCCAGAAGCGGCATCCACACAGAGAACCGGTTGTTCACAAAATTGAATCCCACTACTGGATACAACACTCAGTGATGGTCATAGGATACTAAATAAATGCAAACAACATAAATCATAATAGGATACTATTACTACAATCAACATAAATCATGAGATATAAACAACAAAGTTACAGTCATAAGAAGCTAAGGAAATAGGTAATAGGAAAGATGAGAAGGATAATAGTAATACAGCTACAGTTTGACATCCTAGGGCATAAGAGAGTGTTGTGGGAATTAGTTGTTTAGCAGAGTGATAGCATGGAGGAAAAACTGTTTTGTGTCTGGTTGTTTTGATGTGCAATGCCCTATAATGTTATCTTGAGGGAAGAAGTTGAAAGAAGTTTATGTCCAGGATGTGAGGGGTCTGTAGATATTTTCACAGTCCTCTTTCTGGCTCGTGCAGTATACAGGTCCTCAATGGAAGGCAGGCTGGTTGCAATTGTTTTTTTTTTCTGCAGTTCTAATTATTCTAATTATAGGCAAACAAGACAGTTATAGAGGTGCAGATGAAAGATTCAATAATTCCTTTGTAGAACTGCATCAGCAGCTCCTTGGGCAGTCTGAGTTTTCTGAGTTAGCGCAGGCAGAATTTTCTTTGTTATGCTTTTTTGTTGATGTTTTTGGTGTTAGGTGTCCATTTTAAGTCCTCAGATATTTATTGGAGACCCAGAAAAATGGGTCTCATATCTCTCATATGTCATAGAACTAATTTTCTGAGTTTGGTCAACAGTCTAAAACCTAAAATAATGAAGAGGATAATAATTGAAATTCATCAGTGCTGAGTATCCTAATAAACACCTTCAAAGCATAATAAAATAATATACAGTGCAATGTACAAACATAAAAGCAACCACTGGCTTACATCTTTTCTACCGATTATCTGTCACATTCCTTTCTATAGATGTACTGCTTTTATTTTTATTGCAAATGTAAATATTATCTTAGCTCTTCAGAGCACCTATTTGTTTCCCTGTAGCAGAGACAAGCAATATTCTGGCTTAAGTAGTCAAAAGGACAAGCTTTTTTTTCTGCATGAGGATGTAATCATGAACCTCTATGCATAAGCCTAGAATTTCCTGGGAGAAAGCCTAGAATTTCCTGGGTGATCTCTCTCCCCCCCCTCTCTCTCTCCCTCCCTCCCTCCCTCTCTCTCTCTCTCTCTCCCCCCCCCCTATGGTTAACACATCTACCTCTGAAAATTTCCAGTTGGAAATCTAGAAACTACAAGAAAAGGGTTTAGGTCCATATGTGATTACAATATGCTTATCCCAAACTGATGAGCCTGTTTGCACTGGGTGCAAATACGGAGAACTGCAGTCTTATAGCTAGAATATTTCAAGTTTAGTAGCGTTGCAACTTAGTACCAACATTTCAGACAGAGGCCTTTTGTAGCTATCTGGAATTTTGATCAGGTACAGCAAAACCTCTGTCCACCAAGATAAAGACAGGAGAAAGGTCAGGAATTAGATCATCAGGAACAGTTGTGGGAGAGTGCTTGGCGGTTGATAGTGCAATCCTTGAAAACTTGGAAATTCATAGCTTCCATGGAGATCACAGATTTGTCCACGCTGATCTCTGATTTGACACATTAAAGCAGCATATGCTGGACCTTGGTTTTGCCTCAGAGCAGATGTTAAAATCTCTGGATATGGAGAGCTTTATACTCTGACCTTTTCTGTGGTCAGGTTGTTTCTTGGATCAGCAAAAACTGATTCTATCCAAAATCTCTGCTGGAGAAAGGGGTCTATTTAGAATGATGTGCTCTATGTATCTCATGCATTTGGATGGATTCCAGTGGACACTAGGGGAGTTTTCTATAAAGCCACTGGGAGGGGAGGCTTACCTCTCTTATTTGTTTGTTTTCTAGGCAGCATCTATTCTCATTCTCCTCAGTCAACCCCATATTCCATTATAGGTTAGTTGCTGGTTAAAAGATGACTTGGGCTCTTGAAATAATTGTTCCTATGTAGCATCTATTTGCCAAACCCAGATGTTTTCCTTGGTTTACTGAGGCGGTCTGGAAGATGAAGTGTAAGAAGCAGTGCCTAGAGCACTAGTGGAGCAAGATGAAAAGTGAATCTGACTGAAGCCACGTACAAGCTCAAATATAATAAGGAAGACAAAGTTGTATGTTTCCTTTATTATTGCATCACCATACTGTTAGTTGGCTGCATCTTGTTTAGGGTGAACAATTTCTTTTGGAGAATAATGTACAGCAGGGGTCCCCAATCCTCAGGCTGTGGCCCACCTCCAGGACTTGAGCCATTCGGAACCGGGCCACGGAAGTGGCGGGTGAGTGCACATGCATCCCCAATATTGTGTACAGTGGGTGAGCACGCATGCTCCATTTGCATGAGTGGCGGGTACACATGCCTGCTACTCGTGCAAATGGAGCTCTGTGTGGGTGCATGTGCTTGCCAACTGCTCACACAGAACCATCCCCTCTCCTCTCCCCACTGGTCTGCAAAGCCCAAAAAATTGGAGAATTCCGATTGCAGTGGCCCAAATTCATCAGTGGTGATCACCAGAGCAACATTTTGTCGTATTAGCTGAGTCTCCTTTTGGCCTGTGACTTCCAATAAAATAGTGTTTTCTAGTATGATTCTAGACTTGTAGGGCTAGATATACGCTAGTGGGGTCAGAGCGGTGTGTAAGATGAGATCTGGGTGATATGCCTCATTTCAAATGGTAGTTCTTCCTGTGGCCTTAATGAGGCTGTAGTGTGACTCCTTCTCAGGGCAACCTTCTCCATTCCAGAGGCGACCTATCTGATACAAACATCTTGGAACAAATGGTTGATGGTCCCCTACTTCCATAAAATAAGGGGAGGTTCTGGGCTCAGTTTTTAAGTGGTGTTTTATTTTAAATTCTATATAGTCTTATATGGCTTGGTGCTGAAGTAATTACAGGAAACTTCCTTCGTTCCACCATGACTGTTACATATATCTTTGGCTAAACAACAGGTAGTCCACAAAGTAAAGGGGGACTGAAGCCAGGATGTGGCTTTTCTTGTTAATGACCCTGCTTTGAAACAGTTTTCCCATGGAAATTAGCTCTTACATAAACGATCTTTCAGAAGATTTTAATATAGAGAGCTTTGGCAGGCTCATAAGTGATTCCGGCAGGTTGCTGGCTTGTTGACTTCTTTGCTGTTGATTTTTTTTTTGACTGAATATATTATTATTGTAAATTTGTTTGTTTGTTTCTGCCTTGTGTTGACTCCTGATATCTGCCTGGATGCTTCTCTGCAGGGATTTTTTTCGCAAGATTTTACAAGTGGTTTGCCATTGCCTTCTTTCTGAGAATGACTGATCATCTAACTCATTTTGTGCCTATGATGGGCTGGAACTGATAGTGTCCCAGTTTCTTGCAGGATGCTACACCAAACTGGTTCTCTTAATATTTTGTACCATGGATATTTTAATTGTACTGTTCCGTTGCATGCCACTGAGCATCTAACACAGTTAACAGTGGGACAGAAATCTATTTATTTATTCCACTGGTATTCTATTTTTCATTCAAGTGGTAGAGCACTCTGCATTATGCTCCCTCTTCCTGTTTTTCCCTAGAACATCAATCCTGTAACATAGCATGGGTCAGTCGGATAGATAAATAAATAAACATTAAATAAATTCTGCTCCACAGGCATTGTATAACATTGTTGCTTCCCGTTTGCATTTTTTTTTCCACTTAGGAATGGAATTGTGGTTGAGCTGCATAAAATGATGTAATATTTCTCATCTTTCCTTGGCAGGTCATTATGGAAAGGATATTTATCGAAGTGGAGGTCCAGATTTCCATAATTTCATCTCTTCTGGGTTTGTCACATTAGGAAGAGGACACAACAAGGGTACAGTGGAAACTATTTTTTGTTGAATAGAAAATATATGCTTGAGAACAATCTCTCATTTGGAAGTTTTGTTATGTATGACATCAGATAACAGTATTAGTGTGGAAAATCATAGGCTTATGCCAGAACATAATGCTGCAAGTTCAATAAAATGTTAACAGTGGCCTTTTAAATCCTATGGAAGGAGACATGGAATGAGCATCTGGAGAAGGTTCCAGAATGGCAGAAAGACAGGTTGACTGATTTGCATGAATGGAAACCTCCTGTCTTGCTACCATTTGCCAAAGAAACAGAAAGATACATAAAGTTACTATGGGATAAAATGGTGATACCATTTCCAAAGTGGGATGCTATTACAAGAATACAGAGCATTTGACTTAAAACTGTATACATAAAAATATCTACCCCTTTGGTGTGCTTAAATTATACATAGAGAAAAACATCTGTATTATAATGTAATCTAATAAAAGCACTTCCTTTACCTACTGAAAAAAGTAGGAATTGCACAATAAGACAAAAGGCTCATAATTTCCATAGGTATGTTATGCAAATATATAAGTTTGCAAACAAGATACTTCCAAGCAATGCAGTTAAGCCTGGGACTGTCCTATACCTTCTTTGGATTTCAGTAGAAAGCAATTTGGTGATCAGTCTGGCTAAAGATCTTGGGAAAATCATTTTGTTGTGCCTAGTTTTATTCCCTCTTGGAATATGTTGCTTCTTGGTGCTCATACATGAATCTTGAGAACCTTCTGTGTTTTATTTGTTCTTTGTTTATTGTATGTTGGAATCTGGACTGCATAAACTTATCTGTAGAGTGAAAATGGATTTGTGGTCCTGCCACATAGTGGCTCACTGAACTGAATCACTTTTGCATCTCCTCTAGATTGTTCTCTCCAAAATTTGTGTGAGATTCTAAAAGAGATGCTCATTATAGACTGTGCCATAAAGTTACCAGTCATATTATTTACAATTTCTATTGAATTTGCATCAGCATATTCAGTATAACAAGAGTGCGTTGTATTTAAATATTTATCCTTCCCACACACATAATATTGTAAGCATTTTATAAAGTGATTTCCTTAAGGGTCATATATTTTTGTCTGTCTACCTTATCTGTGAGAAATGTGTGTGTGTGTGTATGTAAGAAAGAGAGAGAGAATGCACACAGACACATACCCTTTATTGTACAAATCTGAAAAAATGTCAGTATCCATATCCTGCACTGTGTATGTTCTGTGTAACATAATGTATATGCAGTACAATGCTGGATGTGCTGATGTGGTGATGTAATAGCAAATGATGTCTACCATAAACATCTAGGAATCATGATGACCCTCATAACTGATATGCAGGAGCATTTTGCTACCCAAACCAGCATGGCTCTGGTGTCTATTTGGGTGAATTTCTAATGAAGTCTATAGCAAGACCTTTTTTATTTATAGGGGGATGGAGTTGTGTACATTTTATTGCTTTCAAACTCTTGAAGAATGAGCCAATTTCCTTGAAAGACTTGAGGGTAGAGAGGGAAAGTCCTAATAGGGCTGGACCAGGGATAGGCAACCTTGGCTCTTTTATGACTCGTGGACTTCAACTCCTAGAATTCCTGAGCCAGCATGGCTGGCTCAGGAATTCTGGGAGTTGAAGTCCACGAGTCATAAAAGAGCCAAGTTTGCCTACCTCTGGGCTGGACCATCAGATCATTGGGTCTGATGTATAGATTCCAAGCTAGCTAACCATCAAGTCTTTTGGGGGACCCACCTCACTCTATGGCACACTAGTGCATTAAAGGGTGGGTTCAAGCCACCTTGGTGACACAACATTGTTCCTTGCTGACTTACTTGTAGACTGTTGAACATTTATATCATGTATTTGGAGATACAAGTCTATTTCTATAGAAACACTGTATTGTATGTGAAGGCATATTGTTTCATATATCCATTCTTGTTGATGTTTCCATGGATGTTCATCATTTGCAAGTTGTAAAACAAAAACAACCAACTCCCCTTTCTTGCTCTGATTTTTGTTTTGCTGTTTAACCAATGGAAGAAAAGCTTTCTTTATAAATGTCAACTAAAGCAGTGTGAGTTCTGTGGAACTGTCACAGAAAAAAATAACATTATATGTGTGTATTGTCTGTGTTTTATGTGTTCAAATAAAGTTTATTGAGGTGGAGGCATAGCCCGTAGGATTGTGTTGTCCTGTGGTGTAGGATGCAATACAAAAGAAAGCATATAAAATGGGAGGGGAGGTGGGATACAATGTATGGACAAAGAACATCCAAGGAAAAACCTTCTATAATCTTCTCTGAATTACCCTTTTCAAGTGTTTCTAATTGTAATCAAACAAGGAACTTGTTGGCAGGAAATCACGAATTGAGACATTCCAGTGGAGTCTAAAAAACCAGAAACAAATTCAGAAGCATCTTTTCTTTTGCCCCATGTATTTTGGTTTGTTTATAGCAGACTTGCCAGATATTATCTACATTTTTACCACAATCAATCAGCTTAAGGGAATTTTTGTTTTAAAGATGCATGCCTAGTAGGGGGGAAAGACAGATTTAAAAAAAAAATGTTGAGAGATAGTGGCCACAAGCAATATAGGGAAGTAATGAACAAATTTTTGCTATTGAGCTTTATTCAGTATTTCATATTTTACTATTTCATTGCTGTGGGAGCCTTTCTGGAATTGATTTCCCTTCCTGACTTCAACCCTGACTGAATTGTTTTAGAGTAATAGAATTAATTGTAGTTATTATTTCCGAAGTTTGTATTAGAAAGTTGAATGTGTGAGTAAAAAAGATTGGCTCATCTTTTTTAAAAAAGAAAAATTCCTCCCGAGGCTGAATGTCCCAAAGATGCTTTTTCAAGGGGCAACTGGACTTCTTTGTTTTTCTCTGAAGACATTTCGCTTCTCATCCAAGAAACTTCTTCAGCTCTGACTGGATGGTGGGGAATGGAAAGGTTTATATACTCCTTGCAGGCAGCTGGCCACTCTTTTAGACAGCCATTGGGGGCACTTGGAGGTTTGTCTATGTCCTCAGGATCACCTGAATAGTGAAAATAGTGTTGTGGAGCTATGCTTTCTGAAGGTTCCATACTCATTTGTACATGATAGATAGATAGATGATAGATAGATAGATAGATAGATAGATAGATAGATAGATAGATAGATAGATAGATAGATAGATAGATAGATAGATAGATAGATAGATAGATAGATTAGGCAGGCAGGCAGGCAGGCAGGCAGGTACACAGACACACAGAGAGAAAGAGAGTTGATATATATATACATACATGTAGGAATCATAACATTTGAGCCACAAAATTTGCCATTACTGTTTTAAAGTAAAAAATACATATTGGACCCTGGTATGCGCAACAATTTAATTATAGCTGACATGCCCCTTTAGGCATAATCCTTACATTTCTGACTTTTAGGCCAGATTCAGACCTAAAACAAATCATAATTTTTCATTGTGGACAGGGTGTTATGCTTGTCTTCTTATGTCTTCTTCTTGTTCTTCTCTTCTGCATGCTAATTGGAACTTTCCATTTTCAGTAGAAAGGGAAGGAAATGCATATATACTTCTTCAAATGGCAGGGGATCATTGTGTTCTATTATCTCTGGTTGGCGTTTCAACCTTTGCTGTATGCTTGTGACTGAATTAAAAAAAAAATGACTCGGGGTGGTTGATACAGGTTAAACATATAATTACCCATACAGTTTAAGAACATTTGAGTCATGACCATGATTAAAGGCAGCAATGTATAATATTGGAACAGTACCATTTCAATTAATTGCAAAACAAAAAAAGTGAGTTTGCCTTCTGCACACTAAGCTAAAGGCAAGCTACTAACTATATATTTTGTTCCGTCTTATGTCCAATAACCTCTCACTTTTGTAGGCCAAGGTTAAGAGCAAAAAACCCCATACTGATTGGACTGCTTTTACACAGTTTCAGACTGTTCTCTAAGTCACTACAATGCAGCTCAAAAGATTTTCAATCTCTTCTTTTGAAGCCAGAGATGAGGGTTGGATAGAAGAGTAAACTCGATTTCTGATTCAATTTGACCTAATGACAAAAATCAGCTTATATAAATTCTCAGGCTCTTTCTCTCTATTGTATGATGCAAAGTTTTAAACTCTGTTTCTTTCTTACACTTTTATACAGTAATAGACTAGGAACCGCCATTTTCTCAGACTTTTATAATCATCTCCAAATGGTTTACAAAATGGCCCAATTCCCAGCTTCCCACTTTTCTCCTAGATACCTGGTTGTTGAAAAACCTGGATTGGTAGCTCATGAAATATGCAGGTTTTGTGCATAAATAAATTTATAAACAGTAACATGGCCTGGTATGATAATAACTTGCTATTTGAAGAATCTCTTTTCTGGTTTCTCTGCCATCAAAATAAAGCATGGATACAAATGTTTAGGCTCCAAATCATTGGTCAATCATTGCATCTTTATATGATCTTTATATATTTTTATCTTGTTCATAGTCAATATACTGATTGTTGACATAGGAGTTCTTTGGTTTCACATATTTAAATGGTCATAACTTTGTTTTGTTTGTTCATTTGCCTTTGGGAATATCTTGGTTTTTGAAGATTTATTCCATAAAATGATGCAAATACTCAATAGATAGTCATTTCCCTGTGTTTCAGATTTGTATAATCTTTTAATTGCTTTAATTTGCTTCAATGGTTTTTGTTGCTACTGTTTAAGCTATGTATTTATTTATTTGTATCTTTTGTGTTGTTTTATTATTTTTAACTGAGAGGAGAATCCAGATTCATGGGGGCCCATGCAAGATGGGTGGATATATAGATTGAGCAAATCAGTAAATATTGTAAACAAACAAACAAATCTTTATTTCAAACAACTTTTTATGATCAAAAGAAATCTTAAACCACATACCAGAAACTCTATAATGTGACTGAAAATCAAATAAGATGTTTCTCACATTTCATATATCTTTTGCTTAGGAAACAGG